AAGGCCCTCTATGAGGTGGATTGATTCAGTGACTGGGATAATTGGGATGGGAGTTTCAGAGACAGTGCGATTGGCACAGGACAGAGCGGAGTTTAGGGCTGTTGTACATAGGGTCGCTATGAGTCGCAAGTGACTCGACGGCACATAGCAACAACAACAACAAAATGTGAAATATCCCAAGTAGTTTGTTCCACACACGGCCATGGAGAACCCACCAGCATAAGAAATGGAACTTGCCCATTCCACCCAGACTGTCTTCCTTTCTAACCCAAATTTTCTGCCCCCTCCCACAAGAAACCATTAATGTTTTTCATGTTCTCTTACCTCTTTTACTTTTTTGTTTTCATAGTTTTATCAAGTATGCATGTTATGAAACTTTAACATTTAGAGCAGGTTATTCTTCCATGTCTTAACAGGCCATCTGTAGTAGGTGGCAGTGGCTGCTGCTGGTTACTGTAACTCATAGTCATATAAGTTTGTGTGTGTGTGTGTGTGTGTGACCTGATTTATTTACCTGTCCTCCTATTAGTACACAATTGGATTCTACGCTTTTTGGAACCTGTTATAAACAATGTTTTTATGATCTGCCTCATACAGGTTTCCTTGGGTGTCAAGCTTTATAACTAGAAGAATTGCTTGGTCAGTATATATGTAAGACTAAACTTCAAAATCTTGTGCAGTGGAGTAGAATAGTTCAGAACACTAGTTTTGACATAAAACCAACTAGTTCTTAAGTTCAGACTCTATCACTTCCTAACAGTGTTACTTAGAAAAACGTAAGTTCTCTGCATTTCCACTTTCTCTTCCAAAAAGTGAGCATAATTACTTCAGAGTTATTTGAAGGGTTAAATGAATAGAAATCACCAATGTCAAGGAGCCTATATTTTTAGTGCACTAAACGATGTGCTGCTAACCAAAAGGTAGGTGGTTTCTTCTGGAGGAGAAAGGCAGGCAATCTCTTCCTGTAAAGACTCAGCCTCTGAAATCTGCTGGGGATCTGCAGGAGAGATGACCAGCTTCATAGTGGTGGGTGTGTTCTGGTGGTTTGGGGTGGATTTTGTTTGTTTTCTCCAATGTTACCCATTACTTGACTTAATCCTTTAATGAACTTGTCAAAATAATGCCCATTTTGCAGCTATTAGAAAGAATGTTGTTGTTGTTGTTGTTGATTGCCTTTGAGATGAGCACCACTCATGGTGACCCTATGAACAAAAGGCCTGAAGCCCCTCCACAACCATCAGCATTTATCAAAGTTCACAGGGTTTCCGGAGGCATGTTATTTAGGAAGTGGATAGAAAGATTCAATATCTGACAATTGGTGCTAGAGCTGGGATCTATCATTTAGACCAACTTAATTCATTGTTTGGTTTTCCTTCATGTAGTCTTCCATCATGATTCTTTAACTAGTCTTCAAAAAATAAGTCCCCAGAGAAGTGAGGATGTAACAAGAAGGAGCAGGGGAGAGGGATGGGATGGCCCAGAAGCATTTTACCTGGTCTCCTGTGGGGGTTCTTCACGACTGTTTTCATTTTGGGTTGTTTGTATGCAGAAGTATGAATCTGAACTGCATCTCATGAATCTGCTTCCCTGACTTGGAAAGCTCATTCTTCTTGAGTCCCACTTCCTAGCCTTCTAGGAAGTCCAGTGGTCTATCAACTGATAAGTAACTTTTGTACACAAGGATGGGAAATTCTAGTCCTTTTTTCTGTCTCCTCACCCCCTGCACCAGCAGGAGTAGCATCCACTTCCTAAATAACATGCCTCTGGAAACTCTCTAAATTTTGAGAAATGATAATTATGAAAAGGCTTCAGATCGTTTGTTCATAGGGTCACTATGAGTCATGCTTGCCTTGACAGCAATCATCAACAACACCCTATCCACCAGATTTGGACTCATTTACAACTGAGCATGTAAGCCTCTAAGAACTAGGGAACTTGAAGGCCAGGGCTGACTGACAGGACAGAGAAGCAGTCACAAAGCTGCCAGTCCAAGCCTGCAGCCTTGCCCCTTCCAGTGCTGAAGACCCTCTCAGGTCCCTTTGCTCACCAAGGCATGAAAGGCATGATCCATCTTTCCCTCATCAGTTATGCATTTTCATAAGCACTCAATGCATTCATTTCTTTTGAAAGAAGGGTAGGAAGAGAAAACTGATGTGCATAATATCTTTCATTTTCTGCAAAAACCATGAACATCAGTATTGGACAAGTTTTCATTTCTCCTAATTCTGAGGAAGGGGTGAATCTGAGTCAGCAGAAGCCAGGGAGCAGAGAGACGCTTGCTTTAGACAATGGACAAGGAAAAACTGATTGGGTTAGGAGATTTTTGGTTACTTTACTATTGTTGTTGTTGTTGTTGTTGTTGCTGTTAAGTGCCATCACATCATTTGCAACTCATAACAACTCTGTGTACAACAGCTCTGAACTGTGTTCTTTCTTGAGCCAACCTCATCATCTTTGACACACCCACCCCCATTACCCCAACCACTGAGTCAATCCATCTCATCTAGCGTCCTCCTCTCCTGCACTGTCCCTCCACCCTCCTAAACATAATGTCCCTCTCCGACTGTTCCCTCCTTGTAACATGCCCAAAGTACATCAGATGAAGCTTCAGAATCCTTGCATCCAAGGAGTAGCTTGTTATCACCCTCTCCAGGACAAATTCGTTTATTCTCCTAGCAGTCCATGTTTTATTTCATTCTCTTCATCAGTCCCACAGCTCAAAGAAACAAATTCTCCTTCTATCATCCTGAGTAATTGTCCAGCTTTCTGATGCATAGCAAGTAATTACAAAGAGCATGGCCTGGATCAGGAGTACCTTAATCTCCAAACTGACATAATTGCTCTTCAGTACTCTGGAGAGGTCCCTGATAGCAGATTGTCCCAGTGCAATTTGTCTTTTGATTTCCTGGGTGCTGGTACTGAGATTGTGTTGATTGTGGAGCCAATCAAACTGAAGCTGTTAACAATCTCAATCTCTTCACCGTCGATCATGATGCTGCCAATTGACCCAGTGGTGAGAATCTTTGTTTTCTTGATGTTGGGCTTCAGTCCATATTGAAGGCTGCAGTCCTTGACCTTCTGTAGCAAGCACTTCAGCAAGCCTCTTCAATTTCAGCAAGCAAAGTTGTGTCATCTACATAATGCAGGTTATTTATGAGTCTTCCTCCAATCCTGATGCCACATACCTCCTCATAGAGCCCAGCCTCCCAGATGATCTGTTCTGCATATAGATTAAAGAGGTATGTAGATAGGACACATCCCTGGTGTACACTCTTCCTAATTTTGAACCATGGAATGTTTCCTTGCTCTGTCCTAACAGCTGCCTCCTGGCCCTAATAGAGATTTTGCACAAACATAATCAAATGTTGTAGGATTCTCATTCTTTTCAGAGTTAGCCACAGTTTGTTGTGATCCACACAGTCAAATGCTTTTGCATAATCAATGAAACACAGACAGACACTCCTCTGGTACTCTCTGCTTTCAAGATTTAACATTGGCTTTTAAACCCAGCCTGCACATCTGGCAGTTCTCTGTTGGTGTGCTGCTCCAGTCGTTTTTGGATCATTTTCAGCAGGATCTTGCTTGCATGTGACATAAATTATATTGTTCGATAATTTTCAAACTCTCTCAGGCCACCTTTCCCTGGAATGGGAACAAATACGATCTCTTTGAGTCCATTGGCCAGGTGGTTGTCCTCCAGATTTCTGGGCACAAATTGATGAGTATCGTCTAGAGTATTGTCTGTTTGTTAAAATATGTCAATTGGTATGACGTCAATTCCTGGGTCCTTGTTTTTCTCCAATTCCTTCAGAGAAGCTTGAACTTCTTCCTTCATCGCCACGGGTTCTTGTTCATACATTGCTTCATGAAATTCTGTCAGCCAATTCCTTTTGGTACAGTGACTCTGTATATTCCCTCCATCTTTTTCTTTTAATGCTTTCTGCATCATTTAATATTCTACCCATCATATCCTTAAGTATTGCAATTCGAGGCTTGAATTTGTTCTTCAGTTCCTTCAGCTTCAGAAATGCTGAGCAAGTTAGGCCCTCTTGATTTTCTAACTCCAGCTCTTTGCACATTTCATTATAATACTTTGTCTTCATGTGCTGCTCTTTTAAACCTTCTGTTCAGCTTTCTAATTTATTTATTTCTTCCCTTTGCTTTGGCTTCTCAGTGTTCTAGTGCAGTATTCAAAGTCTCAATTGACTTCTATCTTGTTCTTTTCTTCCTCCTCTGACTTTGTAATGATATTTGCATTTTCCATGATGATATTCTTGATGTCTTCCCACAGTTCATCTGGTCTTCGTTCATTAGTGTTCCAGGCTTCAAACATGTTCCTGAAAAACAAACAAACAAAAAATCCCACAACAACAAAAACAACAAAATGTTCCCCAGATGGTCTTGAAATTCAAGTAGGATAGACTCAAGGTCAAATTTTGTTTCCTGTGAATTTGACTTAACTTTTTTTAGCTTTATTTGAACTTTCATATGAGTAGTTGGTGGTCTGTTCCACAATAAGCACCAGGCCTATTTTTCACCTCTAGTATTGAGCTTCATTAGCAATTCTTTCTACAGATGTAATCGATCTGATTCCTATGCATGCAATCAGATGAAAACCATGTGTATAGTCTGCATTTATGTTTCTTTTTTTGTTATCTAGTTTTTATTTCAGTCATAAATTTGTCTGCAATCCTGCTAAGCTTGTAGAGAAATAAAGCATGGAACCCAAAGAACTGTAGCAAGAGCACTGCAAGCACACTGGGGGTCGCAAGGTGATTTCTGGAGCTATAGAAGGAATGATTTGGTGATTAAGAGAAAACATGAAATACAGATCATAATTAGAGTTGTCCACAGTCAGCAATGGTGTTCTTGCTGGTCTTGCCATTCCTGGACCCAAAGCGCTCCATGGCTTCCACAATGTTCATGCCTTCTTTCACCTTGCCAAAGACTACATGCTTGCCATCCAACCATTCAGTCTTAGCAGTACAGATAAAAAACTGGGAACCGTTTGTATTGGGTCCAGCATTTGCCATGGACAGGATGCCAGGACCTGTGTGCTTCAGGATGAAGTTCTCATCAACAAACTTCTCCCCATAGATGGACTTGCCACCAGTACCATTATGGCGTGTGAAGTCTCCACCCTGGCACATAAACCCAGGAATGATTCTGTGAAAGCAGGAACCTTTGTAACCAAATCCTTTCTCCCCAGTACTCAGAGCACGGAAGTTTTCTGCTGTCTTTGGGACTTTATCTGCAAGCATCTCGAAGGAGACGCGACCTAAAGGTTCACCATCAGTGGTAATGTCGAAGTACACTACAGGATTGACCATGGCTGAGGCAAGCGTAACAAACAACTATACTGCTGAGGCGATGGCGTCTGCAAAGCAGTATGAGCGTCGCAGGCTCCTCGCTTTTAAAGGCAGTCAGGCTCCGCCCACAGGTCCCTTGCATTTATGTTTCTTATAAAAGATATTTGCAATAAATAAGTCATTGAATGTATAGATTCTGTCATTCTATCACCAAGCTTCATTTCTGTTACCAAGTCATTATTATTATTATACTCCTTCTGTCCTCCTACTGAAATTCCAATACCTTAACTATTTTCCATCTCAAAAGGTAAAAAATTAACAATCATATTGTCAGCACCAGACCCTTAAAGGGTTCTCTTTCCTAAATGAGAGCCTTCCTAAGCACAGAGCTTTCTTCTAAAGAAGACTAAGAGCTCAGGGGGTGATTTCTGAGCTTTTGTTCAAAAAGATGACTTTTCTCTGAGCAGCCTTACAGAAGAAAAAGACTGTCTGGGACCACATTTTTCCCCTCCAAACCTAGCAAGTGACCTCATTCTCATTTGTATTCTTGTTTGTAACCCCACACACACACTATCCAGTTTAGTCAGTATATTATTTTATTCATATTTTTTTAAAATAACACAGGGTATTTCCAAGCTGAGTACAATGGGCATTGTTCTTGTTTGTGATGCATCATTTCCTCCCCTGGGAGCAGGAGCAGGAGACAAGCAACAGAGACTGGACCAACTTTGAGACTGAGGTTGAAAGCGTGTAAAGCATCCTGCCTAACCATAGAGCTGAGCTTTGTCAGGCCACATCTGAGCCCAATGCTGAAATCACCCATTGCACTGACTTATTGGTGATGGGGTATGTTCATCATTTATACACTGGTTCATCCGTCAGTTTGGTTTATCTCTGGCAGGTGTAGCCTATGCCAAATAATTGATCAAATAATGTTGTTGGTGTTGTTGTTAAGTACCGTTGCGTCGCAGGCGACTCATAGCAACCCTATGAAGGAGAGTCCTCAACGTTTGGGTGTCTTTCATCCTCTCTCCAGGTTCATAGGGTTTCCGGAGGCAAGCTATTATGCAAGTGGATGCCACTCCTCCTTCCAAGCTTGTTTTAATCAGGGAGCTCCACCCCACTCTCTGTCCACATTGGGTAACCAGCCACACATTTGACACACATCCACATCAGATCAAATAATTGGTACAATTTTATTATTAAGTTTAAAATAAGCTTTAACTATGTATTTGGATGAAACTATTAAATTCCCACAATAACTTTATGAGTTAGGATCTATGTACAAATCTTGTCTTCTACATTAGTAAACTGAATCTTAACAAAATTAAATTCTGTGACTAATGTCATCAGACTAATCAGAAGAGAGCTTCTTCTCATGAGGACTATGCAGCAACTTTTGGCTGGAAAGCTGAGGCTCTGGGTCTAGTAATCCTATTGTTATATCCCATCAAGTGTCCAATTCAGGCCATGGTCTTTCTAATCACTTGCTATGCATCTGAGAGATGGACAATAAATAGGGATAGCAGAAGAATTGATGCCTTTGAGCAGGAGTGTTGGAGAAGAGTGCTGCCAAATGAACAAATAAATATGTCTTTGAGAGGGTGCAGTCAGAGAGTTCTTCGGAGGCACGGATTATGAGGCTTTGCCTCACATACTTGGGCATGTTGCTAGGAGGAGCTATTCTTTGGAGAAGGACATAATGCTAGGAAGAGTGGAGGATCAGTGATTAAGAGGAAAACCATCGACCAGGTGAACTGATGCAGTGACTGCTGCAATGGGCTCTAGGAGAGGGACATAATGCTAGGAAGAGTGGAGGATCAGTGATTGAGAGGAAGACCATCGACCAGGTGAACTGATGCAGTGGGCTCTAGTGTGTCAGGAGGTATGAAGAAGGCACAAGATAGGATGGTTTTCCTATCTGCTTTTCATAGGGTTGTTATGAGTCATACTAGACTTGACAGCACCTAACTACAACCATTCAGTCAGAACTAACACATAGCCAACCGTCCAGTAGGTTGTCAGAAGCTTTAAATTACACAGAAGGAGATTGCCCATCTTTTCCCTCAGAGTATTTGGTGGATTCGAACCACCTATACTTTATTGGCTCTTATTATTGCTATATTATTATTATATATGTTTCTGTCACATCAGTGTACTGAGTTAACTTGGGATTCCTGTGATACTGAACAGTGGCCAGTGGTGTATTAAATGCCATAATGGTTACACATGGTTGACAATGTTTGGTAGAGCTCACAGATTAAGACAGGCTTGGAAGCAGGAGTGGCAATCACTTCCTAAACATGCCTGTGGAAAATCTATGAATTAGAGGACAAAAATTCTAGAACAGGGTTAGTGTCTTTTGTTTATAGGGTCACAACTCTATAACACTTAGAACAACAACAACAACTCCATTTTGGAGTTGGGTGATGTGGTTGGACTCTATAAGATGGTGCTCTTGTTTTGGTTGAGGATGTGCGTGGGTTGTGTGGTTGTTTTATATTTAAGCCTCTTGTTTAGAGGCAACAAGATCTCCTGGGGGGCCTTTATATTTAAGAGTTGGGCCTGAGGGATTATATTTTAATCCCTTGCTACTGTATTTTGGAAAAATATTCTTCTAAGTCATACAGCACTCTGATCAATTTGTTGTGCTGAGATAATCTGGGTTTGCTGTGACACTGAACCTTGTGTCATTGGAGTCTCAAATGCCATAATGGAACAAATGTGCCATAGGTGTGCCAAACACCACAATGGATGGATATATATATATATATATATATATATATATA